TTAGCTCTTGAATTTCGTATCTTTAAGATATAGTTCCTCAAATAATCAGGAGAAACACTAGGCATTTTTGATAAAGGCATTTTTAAGTGTACTGATAACCACAGAAATTTTAAGACAGTGGTTTTTTTTTTTCACAAGTAAATAAAACTCAACAGTGAATGATTTTAATCCAGATGTACTTTAAAGCAATGCTTCAATCCAACATTAAAAGGATAGATATTAATGACTAAACACACAAACCTCAGGCATTATTTTTATAAATAATAGTCCCCAAGTTGCCAAGAGGGAATATATTTTAAAAGTCATTTTCTTTTTTTTTAATTAAAAAAATTTCAACTTTTTGTTTATTTTTGAGAGAGAGAGAGACAGAGAGAGAGAGGGAAGACAGAGTGTGAGCAGGGAAGGGGCAGAGAGAGAGGGAGACACAGAATCTGAAACAGGCTCCAGGCTCTGAGCGGTCAGCACAGAGCCCGATGCAGGGCTCGAACTCATGAACCATGTGAGATCATGACCTGAGCTGAAGTCAGACACTTAACCATAACCGACTGAGCCACTCAGGTGCACATTTTCTTTTCTTTTCTGTTTTCTTTTTTTTAAATATTTTATCCATAGGTTAAACTTTTTTATTTTCCCTAAGTAGTTTATTAAAATGTGTATATGACAAAAATTAAGAACCAAATTTTTTTTTAAATAAAAGTAAATAATTATTTTAAAAGTAAATTTTTGTTCTTAGTTCTTCACTAAAGGCTTTAGGATGAAAACAATAGAATGAAGTAAATTACATGTGTGTTTGTTTTCCAGGTAGTCTTTATCTTGAATCTCTTTGGATCCTAATCCTTAAAGTTGACTGCCTAGGTGACAGAACTCCAGCAGCTCACTTAAAAGCAAACCATGTTTGTTTCTTTTTTTCTGATAATTAGACTTTCTTATTCCTTACTTCCTCAAAATACATTCAAAATAACAGGGGGAAATATTGAGGTATTAAAGATAAACATTACCTTATCTTCTTTCTCACTAAAAATCATAAACTTATGAAAGAAAATAAGTCATGATTTACACTAAAATCTAATGATTATTTTAAAAGGTAACTAATTACCGATATACAGGACATAATGAAATATCTTCACACTCTCGCTCTTCAAATAAGGTATCTGGGCATTCTTGGCCTCCGTTGGCTGCTTCCTGGATGATAATCCTATATCGAGACTGTTTAACCGTGGCATTTCCTAAAGTAAAGGAAAAATAAAATTATAGTGCCTTTTTATGTAGCTGCACGGAAAAATACAGGGTTAGTAGCAGGCAGGCAGGCATACAGGCAGGAAGGAGGGGAGGAAGGGAAGGGAAGAGAAGGAAAGGAAAGGGAAGGGAAGGAAGGGAAGGGAAGGGAAGGGAAGGGAAGGGAAGGGAAGGGAAAGGAAAAGGAAAAGGAAAAGGAAAAGGAAAAGGAAAAGGAAAAGGAAAAGGAAAAGGAAAAGGAAAAGGAAGGGAAGGAAAAAAATAAAGAAACAAAGAAAGAAGGAGGTGAAGTAAAAACATGTGGTAAGACTTCTTGGGGAATGAGAATGAGAAGCAAAGACCAGGGGTTAATAATATTATACAAATTCTCACTCCTATGAGATAGATAGTTAATACTCAATAATTGTCATTTCAAATCTATATGACCTAATATGCAAAGAGTGTTTTCCCAATTGTCTTAATATGCTTTAAATTAATCAGAATTTATATTACCTATGGCATAAGAATCACATGGCATAATCTGAGAAACCACAGAAACCAACTTTGATCTCACAGTAGCTCAAGGGCCTAGAGTTTTACTATGAGCAAATCACTTCCTCAGGAAAGGCATTTCCCTCTGGAAATACTCATTAAAATTAATACATTAGTAATTTATTTGTGGGTATTAGTTTCTTATAATATCTCTCATTCATCATAACCTGAGACAATATGGATATAATTGTAATTTAGGGGAAAGGCACTAAAATTGTGACAAAACAAAATATTGTCTACTTCCTGGTTTGGTTAAAAAGCAGAAGTATTAATAGGCGCCTCAATAAAGATAGCCAGTGTTCACTATCACTTTAATGGGCTGGGGCACTCATCTCATAATCTTTAGATGCCTTCTGATCAATAACAGCAACAAAAATCAATTACAGTTACAATGGTGAGCAAATATTTCAATTGCTATGTGCAAAATATGCACTAGATATAAAAATGAAAATTCTTGAACTTACACAGAAAGAAAATGGGGCAGATAGAGATACAACAAATTTAAGACATTGGTAGAGCGAGAAATGTCAACAGTGTGCAGTACTAAGAGAGTACGAAGAAAGAATAATCATTTTTGTCTCTAGAAACCAGACAGTTCCTGGAGGAGACAGATTTTATCCTGGCACTTGAAATCTTAATAGAAAAAAAAAAGGTTGAAGTCATTTTAGGCCAAGGAAAGTCTGAGAAAAGGTACTCCTGAGACATAGATGGGTGCATGGAATTCATAGAGAAAGACATGTAGGTGCATTTAGATGGAATGTGGATGTTCACATGTTGGAGGGTTACGAAGAATGGAGAGAAAGGGTGGTGTAGGAGAAAATGGAATTAATTGGTAAATCTGGGACAGACCTAACCATGTTAAGAAGAAAATTTCTAGAAAGCCAGTAAACTAAGTGGAATGTGACAAAAGCGGGGGGGGGGGGG